CCCCAATTAGTCTTCAATTTTCAAAGCACTCCTACGGCCTTGAAAATGAGGAAGTTTTTAAGTTTTACAGATGGAGAGACTGAAGCAAAACAGAACTAACTAGGCCAAAGCTCAATAGCAGCTCCAATATTGTGTTTTAGGCTAGAGTTAAACAGGTAGTTCTTGGCTCCTGGCTCCATGTGCTAGATTGCACTTTCAGAACTTTATGGTCAAGTAATATAGCTAGCTGCTGTATCAGACTTATATATAATTTGTACTAACTAGCTAATCAAGCTAGTTTTCCCTGTGAGACTACAGATATTTCAAAGGTCATCTCTTGCATTAATTTGAATTTGTCTGCGTTAACTGTCCTACAAGTAACATTATATCTGGGTTTATATAAAAATGTATGCAGCATGCATCTCTTTCAGTTGTTGCTTTTGAAATCATTTACAAAGAACTACATCAAATATGCCTTGCCTCTTAACATTTACTTTGTTGTATAAACAACTTTTAATTTATTCTTGTATCTTTGGACATAAGATACACCGCTTAAATGGACCAGTTTGTTGTAATATTTTTACTTTTATTGCCAACACAGGACTATTGTGCCAGCAAATTTGGAGCTGTGGGTTTCCATGAATCTCTGAGCCATGAACTGAAGGCTGCTGAAAAGGATGGTATTAAAATGACCTTGGTGTGTCCTTACCTTGTAGATACAGGAATGTTCAGAGGATGCAGAATCAGGTGAATAGACTCTTCCTTTTGCCCAGTGCACCTTTAGTAGTGCTGTTCTTAATCCATTTTTGAAAGAGAAGAAAAAAAAATTGCTAGATTTTTAAGGCATGAGAAGTAGATTGCAATAACTTGAACAAGTAACACTTGCTTTCCTGAAGTTTAGTCACAACACTTTTAATTTCAGTTTGAGTAAATTAGGGTTGAAGACTTGTTTCTCTCTTCCCCTGCCCCCTTGCTTTTTTTTTAGTGGTCAGCAATACCTGGATGTTACCTGCTGTAACATAGGTCATATCTACCATTGGTATTTTAATCTGTTGCATGGTTTCTTAACAGTGTAGTCGGGAACCTGCTCAGTAAAATATTTGGACTGACTTTGTTTGAAGCAATCTCATAAACAAACTATATTGCAACAAAATGAGACTCTTAAGCGCAGTTTTTCTTTGGTATTCTTTTAGCATGCAATCACATTTGGTTCTCTTCAGTAATCTTATGTGGTGCTTTGTTGCCAAAATCTGTAGATTTTTTTTTTTTTTGTCTCCAGTCTCTAGAATGAAACAAACCTAAAATGTGAATATAAAAATCCATTAAAAAATTTACGAGTTAATAAGTAATAAAGAATTTACATGTTTTTTTTAAAAACACTTCAGAATGAGTTGGTTAACTCCTCAGCTAGACGGTCATCTTTTAAGCGAACAAGCTTTGGTAAATTGGTTCATGAACTCTTGTTAACCTGTATGAATAAAATATTTCAGAAAAGAAATTGAGCCTTTCCTCCCACCGCTGAAACCAGACTACTGTGTAAAGCAGGCTATGAGAGCTATCCTTACAGACCAGCCCATGATTTGCACACCTCGCCTGATGTACATTGTAACTTTCATGAAAAGGTAAGCTTCCAGAATACTAGCCAGTTAGCAATGCAACACACACAACCTATTACGTACTTCAGACAGACAACTGTATGTCCAAAAAACTTAAAATCTGCCTCTTGCTGCCTCTGACTTCTTTGTATAAATCTCTCCCTTGGCTCACCACGGGGACTGGCTGCTTTCTACATCCTATGGGCTCCATGAATCTGAAGACCTGTGTACTGAGTTGCGTGTCCAGGGACTTTATATTTCCTCTCCTTCCTCTTTCCAGGAAAGACTAAGACTAAGGCTACAGTAACTTTTCAGCAGTGCCCTTCCATACTGTGGAATCACTTTCTAGGAGTGGGTCCCAAGGTATATGTCAGCAGTTATCCCTCATAACTGATCTCAAGAGCTAAAGTCCTCATCTGGTACAGGTTCCCTGTGAGCTGCACAGATCTCCAAGGGAAGGTAAAGCCTGTGGGCTTAAGAACAGAGCCCTCCTATTAAGTCTAGGATGAGATGGAAGGGCTTCTGTTCCTTTCTCCCCTTCCCAGCACACAATGTTGCAGGGTGTCTGTTCCTGTTCTGGTTTGAATCTACTGCTTATGCTGCCCTTTTTGCAGTTCCTCAAACTTCCAAATTCTCCAGACATGCAGGCAAGGCCTTTAAAAAGAGTTGGTCAACTTTGAAACTTCTGTTGCCTTGGGAGGAGCGCTCAACTTAGGAGCCTCTGAGGGTTCTGATCTAGTCGGAGTTCAGGAGCTCCCAACTGCCCCAGACTTTTAAGGGTGAAGCAACTCGCCAAGCTGTCTAGGAGGTACTCTCAGTACTTGGCATCATAGTAGCTCTACATGCATTTCTTCTGCCACGTTGTAGGTGAAGTTATCAGCACATCCTTCAGAACGGACTTCAGCAATAGCAGGCTCTGTGACTTTTCAAAGGCTGTGTCAGTGTACTTTGCATAGACAGTGTTCTGTGCAACAGCCAGATCGAAGGCCCTTCTGGCTGTCTTACATTCTAGCACCCTAGCTTCCAACAGGAAGATCAAAGCTTCTGTACAAACTATGCCCCAGGCAGTAGCAGTTGTATCAACGGCCCTCGAGTGACTCTGCATAAGCAGTGCTAACAGCAACACTTACTTCCCAATGTTCCAGTAATGCTTGGGTCCTGCTATGTGCCTTGCTCCTGATTTTTCCCTAATGCTGTACTCAGTGCCTAGTACTATGGGGTTGTGATGCATGACCAGGTCTCCTGGGTGCAACTGTAACACATGGAAGTGAAAAGCCAGCTTTTTTCCACCTTTTTTCCTAGTGAAATTATCACAAGGAGAATGATGGGAGAAGTCAGGACCTCCTTGGGAAAGAATGACTGAGCCCAAATGATGTATATAGGGTGGTACAGACTGTTTGAAAACTTTTCTAGAGAAGAGACTGAGGGGAAAGGGGGTGGGATTTGATATGTTTTCAAGTACTTGAAGGCAGATTATAAAGATAATGGAAACTTATCCTTTTCTCTGTGGCTGTTACATCTCAAATGTACGCTGGCTTATTTTGCCTATATTGCTGTGAGGAGAAATTTAGATTTTAATAGGCCTTTTGGGATAAGCAGGTTTACGGGAAGAGGAAGGCAGAGGCACTTTGGCCTTAAGATATGAAAGGAGGAAAGAGGAAGATAATGAAGGCTTGGGAAGAAGTATGTTTTCTGTATAGTTTGAGCTGGCTTCTATTTTTGTTCTCTCCTTAAATGTGCCAATGAAATTGGAGGTAAAATACTGCATGTCTTTTGGGCAACACAGAAATGGCTACTGTAGATCCCTGTGAAAGATTTACTTCACTTCCATATTGCAGTTTTTTTAACTCCTTTCCTTTCCTTTCCTTTCCTTCAGCATCTTGCCTTTCGAAGCAGTTGTGTGCATGTACCGATTCTTGGGAGCTGACAAATGTATGTATCCTTTCATTGCTCAAAGGAAACAGGCTACAAACAACAATGAAGCAAAAAATGGAATTTAACCCTTTTTTTTGTATGGACTAACCATTGTAGGTAACTGTAATAAAGTTACATGCCTGAATTGTGAAGTGCACTTGCATCTAGCTGATGCAAATGACAACATTTTTACTGTGGCATTCTCTTGGATCTCAAACCTGTGTATTGAACTCTTTAAAAAAAGAAAAATCTGTCTTTTTTACTTACATACTGTAAATAAACTGACTAGAAAACTTGGAAAATGTGATAGATAGGCAAAGTGAACTTAATGTAGCTGCCACCATTGTTGTTTTGTTTTATAATGTTACTGAAAGTACAGGAAAGCTAGTCATACTACTATGTGAGCTCTCTTCCTCAGCCTGCCAATGTTTTAAAATGCTGTCTTCAACTAGAAGATGCAGCATCTCATACTTTCCCTATAGTATTTAAAACAAAATCATGCAATTTTAAATACTCCCATACTTTAGCAAATTCAAGGACCGAGCCTATGAATGCATTTCTCTCCACTTGTAGACGTAAGTTCAAAGGACATGTGGCCAAACTGTTTGACTGCTCATATCATTCTTTTTCTTTGAAAGAAGAAAAAGGAAGACATTTTTTAAGTCTTTACCAATTCAAAGGCAAATGGGTTCTGGGGGAGATACTCGGAGCAAAGCTATAGCAGACAAAATTTCTAGACATGCAGTCAGTGGGTCCAACTGTTTCAAGTCATTTGACTTGAAATATGCTCTATTCGGTCCATCACTCTGGATGGTAGAGTACTGTCCACCCTAATAGACTGTATATCTGTCTCCTCCTTTTTGTAACCTTGCTTCTGACAAAGCCCTTCCCTCCCCCTCTCATGAAGTTGTATTACACTTCTGTAGCTGGAGTCTTGCCTGAAATACAAAGCAGCTCAGCTGAGATACAAACTGTTTTTATGCAAGTTCTGGTTTTGTGCCAGCTATTAGCAAAGTTAACACAGAATAATGCTTAATGCAACTTTATATGTGGCATATGGAAGGGTGTAAAGATTTTTAAGTTCTATTTGCATTGTGGAACAGCAAATGACTTTTTACAGTATTTTTTGTAAAGCAAACAATTTTTGTGCCTTGAATTTGGTAATCTGTGTATTAGTGAAACATTTGTAAAAGTGAATTTCTACCTCTATCTTAATGTATACCATCCACTTGTAAATTACTATCAAACAAATCATGATTACTTTTTTAGAATGTCTTGTTTAACTAGTGACCAATGTTCATGGTTATTAAAGTGAGCCACCTTTTACTTAAACAGTGATCAGGATGTTTCTTTGAAAGGTTAACTGAAGTAGGCTATAAACAAGCCAATACATAGCTTTTTAGTGTGACCATAATTCAAATAATGAACAGTTATTCAATTCCTACCCTAATTTCCTGCTTATTGGAAGTTTTTTGTGCAGCCTTTAATGAAGACAACAGATACCTCCTTCTGCCTCAGTAAGGACTGCAGGATTAGCTTTCCTGGCATCCTAAGGATAAATTGCTTCTATAACCAGTTAGCAGTCATAGGGAGAAGTCACTCTATATTCTTGGAGGGGCAAAAAGCTTCTAAACTGCTTCAGTTCTGGTTTTCCATAGTTCTTTAGCTCGATCACCACACTTAAGCACCTGGCGCTGCAGTGCATTTTAAAACTAAAATGCATCGAAAGTGTTCATTCAAAAGTGCACCACCACCACCACTTTCTCAGCACTAATGCACACTTCACCATTTATACAAATGCATGCAACAGTGCCAAGCATGTCACGTGCTCGCATACAGAGCAGACTTGATGAGTAACACAAGTAGACATGTTAAGTGGACGTGCTGGATTTCTGCACATTGGAGCAGACAAATGTATGTGTATAAATGCCCCTAGGTTTTACAGCCATAGAACTGTTAAGGGACCAGTTCTCAAATTTGGTGCCTTTACTTGGTGGCTTGAAGCCATTTGCAGGCACGTGAAGTGCTATGGAGAGCTGAAGTGCTTGATTTCAAGGATCTGCTCTTGAAAATTTCTGAAGTTTCACGTTGCAGAACCACGTGTGCACTGCTACTCAGTCCTGTTTGACATTGCTGATGGACAGAAGATTACAAAGGTATCACTGAGGAGAGCATTCACCCTATAGTATCTCTAGGGGTGAGGCATAAATACAATCAAGATCTTGTTCTGATTTCGGGCTCAGTTCAAAGGAATGTTTTTCTTAAACTGAGTAAACAGTATAGAAACCAGAAACTGAAACCCTGTGGTGTCATTTTATGTCACACTTCATAACAAATGATGCTTATGGAAGATGAATATAAAATACCCACCCCCAGTGCTATTTTCTCAGTACTGCTACAGCCAATGTAGCATCTACCTTAAATCAATTTCCTTAAGCATCAAATGGGGTAAATTGTTTTTTCTCTCTTGTAATCCTTCATTCAAAGTGTTTAGACGAGCTTTAAAAGTCCTGCTTCACAATAGCAACTTGAAATTTGACTTTGGTTAGTAGAAAGCTTTTACTGTAGGCTGCAAAGGCTATACAACTCTACCAGAGTCAAATTTTTGCCCTTTGGAAAACTTTAAGTCTTGATCATAGGCACTTTTTGGTACATTTCCCTTATTTCATTTTGCTGACATGTAGATACAGTTCGCAGTTAAGCATGTACTTGCATACTTCCTCAAGGCATTCTCTCTGAGGACCCTACAAGGTAACTGTTGGTCACAATAGTGACACTGAAGGGTTTTCTATATAGTTGTTCCTGAAAAAAATGTGTGGATACTTATACTTACCCTGGAGAAGAGACTCTTGTGCTGCTTGAAGCACCTGCTTTGAAAATTTAGGCTTTAAGGCCTTGTCTACAAAAAAAAATTTACTGTAACAGGAGCATGAATTGACAAGGTACTGGCTCTTCTGTGCTAACTCCCCCTGTAGACATTTCCAGCACATAGTAAGAATGTGCTAGAAGCATTTTAATCCATTTCCAAGCTATGTTGCGCAAAGACTTCCTTGTTTACTACACACAGAAGGCTAGCAGCTATTCTGCTTTCAATTCTATAAGTGGACTTAGGCACCAGGTGCAATCCTATTCCAGCCTGCCAGAGTCTGAAAAAAATAATACGAAAGATGAACAGGTCTTCCTTTTCCTTACTGCTTTTTGTGACTTGAGGATCAGATGGTAGTGAGCTACAAAAGTAGACATGTTAAATAGATTTTCAGAGATTTGAATGGCTTGGAATAGGATTATACCCAAGTCTGCTTAGATCCCTTCCTGCCCACCTACCCCCATAGGTGGAATGAATCTGGCTTCAAGAGAAACCCTAGAGATCATCACTAAGAGTTGCTAAAGTAGTGTAAATTTGCACTTGAGATTCCTTTTCTGTAACTTCCCCAATGCACCCTTAAGGCTCTTCTTGCTCTGGAATGTGTTCATTCTGAGGAAGGTATTCAGAAACAGTTAATGTGCTCTAAATGTATGCCACACTCCAATCTCCAGAACTCTCATGGGAAGATGTGCCCTAATGTGGCTTGTCTATGCCAGAGTCTCTCAGGGAAGCTGAAAGAAATCAAAACTGTTACAGCACGTTCATTACAGTGGTCGACAAGCTCAGTCCTGAAAGTCTCGAGGAGCATATCCACACAAGGTTTAAGTTAAAGTATTCACTTAACACCTGCAGTACATTCCTCTTAGTTTGCCTAAGTGTCCATATATAGACAAGTCTTGACCATCTGTGCAATGGGGTATAGTGATCATGATACAAATTGTAATTCTTTAACTAATGAGTCCTGAAGGTCTGCTTCTATCTGTCTGTTGATGGTCTGAACACAAAGTGGATTCTTGTTAAGAAAATTCTGTATATGAAATGAGTCTGGCTAGTATATTCCATTTACTACTCACATACACCCTTAAGAATGGGAAATATACTTTTGCAGCAGGCAAATCTATTCATTCACATTCTCAAATACATGAGGCAGTAGTGGTTAAAGAAGAAAACTGATCTAAGGCTGATTTAGTAATGAGACTCTTAACCTTAAAATTCAGGTGTTTAACTGGATTCGCTCTCCACTCTATTGCAAAAAGATTGATATTCTTGGATAGTACCTTATGCAGTTGAAGACAGAATGCCACACAAACAAATCCTAACTAGTTTGGTGTGCTGCTGCCTAGTAATTAGCAGCTTCTTTATAGAAAGATAAAGCTAGTAGAAAGTGGTTTATTTTGTCATGCATCTTTACTCTGGCTCAGTTGTATTTGTCTGTTAAAAAGGAACACGTTCATGCTAACATTATTTAAATACTACTTATGTAGACAAGCTCAAATAATTAAAATAAATTTAGAAATCCTTTCCCAGCTCATGTACTTCAGTATTTGCTTAGTGCTGATAATACAAAAAAAGTGAAAATCTCTGCTACAGAAAGCTAAAAGATGGACAACAACTACATGCCAGGATCCAATCTGACTTTGGATTGGAGTGAACTTTGTTGTATGTTTTCTTCTCTCCACAAACACACTGCATAATATCTTTGCAGACTGTAATGTGTTATCTAGAATCTTTAAACACAGTACCCCATCTATTCAGACTGACCAAATTCAGTTAGCCTGTTTTCAGCAAACAGTGTACCTGGCCTATGTCTATGGGGTTTAGATAACTGGAGCCTTTGTTTCCTAATCCAATTAAGAGCTCTTGCAGCAGTGAAACATAGGGAACAGCCAAAACCTAGTCATGAGGTAAGCCAGCAGCTTCTAATAAGACTTGTCTATATACTGAGTTACCCAGGAACAGCTGTTCTGAAATAACTATTTCTAAAAATGCCACCTATGGACACTCTGAAGGGGTCTTGTTCCTATACCTACACCTGGATTTTTTCAGCAATAGGTGTTACTCTTTAAATTCACATTCAATCCTAATCTGAGTTAATGTTGAAGTGTACTCGAGCCCTTAGAAGATTATAAGTATTTAATTGGAAAAAAGAGAACTCATGTTGTGCAGTCCAGCTCCTGTCTGTTCATCAGTTTGCACTAGGCCTTAACCACCGCATTTCCCATTATTGCTACACCAGTTTGATTCTTCTACTGGAAAGAAGCACTAGGATAGAGGAGGTCCCAGATGACCACTGTTATTTTAGGAACGATGTTTTCTCAGGACATACCACCAGTAACTGTCAGCTTGTTGTCTGCACATGTGCCTGCTGTGGTGGTTAATGAGAAATAAGTCTTGTGCAAATGAGACTAAGACTTCTAGTGGAAGGACATTAAAAACTAGAACATGCTGACACATACTGTTCTATTAATTTTCCCCCTGCTCCCTTAGATCCACTATATAAATAACCAAATTACAAATGACAGCTACTATCTGCTTGAAGTGACTCAAATGTAAAATCCATTTGGCAATTGTTCACTTCGCTTCATTTCTGGAGATATGAAAATTACCCTCTCTGGGGCTGTTTAACTAACACCCATACATTAATGATTATGTACTGCATAACACATCATCCGTTAACATTTGTGAAGTAAGGCACTTGACTAGTTCCAGAGACTAAACTGGAGGCATAGGAGGATTGATGGTTAGGGACAAATGGTGCCGATTGTTAGAGTGGTGAGGGTGAAGAGAATCTCTAGAAGGCTTTTGGTGATAAGCGGGAAGATCAGTAAGATAACAAGTAGACATCTTAGATAGGGAAATAGACTTAGCTTTATAAAGCCCTCCCAGGGCTATGAAATGTTTGTTAGCTTTAGGATGGAAGAGTTTTTTTTTTTAACTATTTGGAAAGTGTTAATAAAGGATCCTTATGTATAGGCTAATGAGTACTTATCTGCCACAACTGTTTCTGGTACTGGGGAGTTACTCTCCAGAAAACAAGCCATTTCACCTTCACTTCAGACAGTCAGTCATTTTGACTGGTTTGAGTCACTACTCAAGTCAGGAGACAGGATTAGAAAAGTCATGCCTAAATCCTCTTCCCCGGTAAAATAAACAGAGCTCTGGCTATAATTAACAATTATATACTGCATTAAAGGGGAAGCGTTCACAGAGATTCTGATAACCAGCTTTTCTCCTTCCCCAGACTTTTTGGTATATAAATATTAACAGTCCCACGTGATGGTTCTCATATGAAGACCTAGTGTATCTAATGAGAATGATTGGGTCAGTCACACCGTCCCCCTGTACTGAAGACGGAGGTCCATGACCCTTCCCTCTGTGAAGCTCAAGTCTCCCGTTTTCTACAAAACTGCATTTTTTTTTCCTGCTTTCCTTCCTCCTGATGTCTGAATGGTCAGATGTG